CAGAAGTTGGCTAGGTGTTCCCAGAAACCTTTTCTTCCTGGTAAACACTACTCCTTGTGGCTTTTCCAGGCTCTCCATCCTGCTGTGGGTTATGAGCCTCAGATTTCTTGGGCTTGGACTGCACTCCACAGTTCAATGGTGTTTCATTTGGTATTTGAAGTGTTCTCCCAATGTGACTGTCTATGATCCACAATTCTTCATTTGCAGTAGAGGCTTCTTTGAGAACACTCTGTTCAAGAAGCTATGGGAAGTGGCTTGATTTTTAATCCCTTTAGGAGACTGTCTGCATTTCCTATTTATAAAATTAACCTGAGGAATCATGACAGTCTAAGTCACGAAACACTCTATTTATGTCACATTAGAAAGGAAAGTGTGGTACTAAGTCTCTTACTATAGGAGACTGTTGAGGAGCTTGCAGGAAAGCTTACTGCTTTCCAAGCTAGACTAGGCTGAAATCAGCAATTTCCTATATATACTCTTTCACTTCAAAATTGTTACTTACATTTGGTAATTCAGTTATAGTGCGCTTAACTGGTAAGGTCCATGAGACTTTCTGAGGTTTTTAATACTGTTTTCACTTGGACTATAGAGACTGAGCATCCTTTGGCTCGTGGCAGACTTCTCTAATACGAGGTATTTTGATTTATATCTTATTTGGAACTCTTCTGACACGTAACCATCATCATCTATGACTTGTATGTTTCCTGAATTGATGCCTTCTGCACTCCCATCCCTTTACTATGTAAAATTTGTAAGCTGTTCACATTGAATACTGAACTCCTGTCAAAACTTGTTGAACTGGTTTGCTTTCTGTAAGCTGTACTTTGACTCAGTTACTTACTCCCTTAACATGTCCTTCGGGTTGTATTTGTTTTCTGTACCTTACAGGCTTTGCATAAACAGTCTTCCGATTATTTTTCTGAGTTAGATGGCAAGGAGCTCAAAGACAAGATGTGAGAGAGCATCGCTGTGTGTTATCTGGTGTTTGGTGGCTAACTGGTGACTTTCTCATATGTGAACAGAGGGTCCAAAGGAGGGCAATGAAGATGATCAAACTGCTCGAGAACCTGCCCTCTGAGGAGACACTGAGGGAGTTGGATCTTTTCACCTTGGAGAAGAGAAGGCTCAGGGTGGACCTTATTACCGTTTTACAGTGCTTGAAGTGCAGCTACAAAAAGAACAAAGGCTCTCTCTTCATGAGGAGCGCATGGAGAGGACGAGGGGCAATGGGTGCAAGATGCACTGGGAGAGGTTTCATCTTGATACAAGAAATAATTTATTATTTTTTTTTTCCAGTGAGAAAAATCAACCACTGTAACAACCTCCACAGGGATGTGGTAGAGTCCCCATCACTGGAGGTTTTCAAGATCCACTTGTACAGGGTGCTAGATAATCTCATTTAGGCTCCCTTTCCCATGGGAGTTTGGACCAGATGATCCTTCAGGGTCCCTTCTGACTTGGGCTGTTCTGTGATTCTGTTAATAAACCAGGCAGTGGGACTAATTATAATTTTCAGTTAGTCAGGTGCTATCAAAAAGTACATAAATCAGTCCTCTGACTTCCTGCAGCTTTTTAGGAAAGCGAGTAGAACCCACAAAGCGCGTGAGGTTTGGGGCTTGGAAGTGTCATTGTTTATATACCTTTCCAAATAGTGTTTTAAGGGCTTCTCCAGAATATGAAAGGATACTACTTCATTTTCTACAGAGTATCCACTCTTTCTTGTGGGGTGGGGGAAGAATTTTTTTCCCTTTGCACCCCCACATGTAGTGTCGCAGTGTCTGGAATTCAAGTAACGCTTTCCTCAGTAGTGCCAGGGCCCAGTCATTTCTGTGTGCAGTTTGTCTCACCATTCCAACCAGCTGCTTGTTTGCTGATGGAAAGTTTCTGCACACAGAGCCTTTGTAATTTGGACATTCAGAGCAGAGGTTACAATTGTCATGTTGTACGTTTTATGAAGAGTTTTGTGAGATGTTAATTAGAAAATTTGTTCTAGTTTTTGAGACTGGGAAAGACTAGAAGTGAGAGAGACAGCTGGAGAATGAGAAGCCAGCAGAAGCTGGAAGAAATCTAGTATGTTTCCTGTTTCCTGCCTCCCTGTTGTGGGAGAGCTGTAAGCAGGAACATGGTGCTGTTTCTTGCTGTTGATTTTTGTGAGCACGAGTTCCTGAGAAATGTATAGTTTCCCTTTTCTATTACCCCTCCTTCCAGACTCTCCTGAAACCTCCACTGCCGTGTCTGTTGGAGACATCTGGTTACTGACCTGTTTCTGTGATTAGTTACTGTGGTAACCTCGTTGAAAAGTTTCATGGCACTTTTTTCTTGGTTGTGCTAGCTTTTCAAAGCCCTCACTGCTGCTGCTTGGAGCTATAGAGAAGCCAAGTGTGAGGAGAAGGCTTTCCTGGGCAAAGGGCATGGGTCTTAAAATTGAGCAGTTGTTTGCATTCAGATGGAAGAGTCAGTAGAACTGAGATTTGGGGACTGTAGTAGTGGCTGATTGTAGGTACTTTATGATGAGCAGCTCTGGAATGTTAAGAGTTGTTTCTTTTGAAATAACTTCACATTTTTCTGTGTTATCCATAGAGGAATGCAGGTACTCAAAACAGTCTGAATAGCCAAAGAAACAGTGGTGAAATCAAGCTGTTTGTAAAACATCTGTTGAATCACAAGTATTTTTTCAACAATGAGGCTGTAAGCGTAACAGTCTGCTGCAGAATCCACAAATAGGAAAACAGCATCAGGGATTAGGTCTTTAAAAAAACCTCAAACAGAAGTGCAAGAGAGATGAATTAAAAATTTGAGAACTTTATGATATATTTCCTCTACAGTTAGTTTTTAGATGCTCTTGGGTGTAAGCATTGGAATCACTACAGCTGATTTTAACTTGTGTTACTAGAAAGGACCATCTGAGGATTAGTGGCAGCTGAGCTAAATAGATGTGTTTGAATTGTACCTTTAAACAAATACAGAATTAGGGCAAAGAACAAAGCACTAGTGTTATACCCTTTTTGTTGTTTTAAGAACACTGCCTTTTTTATCTTTAAAAGGCAGATGGCCACTTGATGTATTATGAGACCACATTGTGTACTAACATTTCAAGTAGAAAGAGATGGAGAAGAAGTAGATTCAGACATGAGAACTTGACTGGCATTCGCTTTGAGTTTGAGTAGTGAAGATGTACATTCATCTGAAATGTATGTTTTAGCAAACATTCTGTTGATGCTAGCAGACATGAAGATGAAGGAGCTGTAGTAGAGTAACAGACTAGCTCTGTGAAAGGTTAAAGGTAAACCTTTGAGATAATTGAAACTGAATACAGACAAGAAAATTAAGAAGATTGTTTAAGATTGTGTATCTGCACTAGTCAAGGTTATCTTTCCTTTGACGGTTAAAGTATTGCAGGCTGTGAGATTTTTAATTTTCACTAGCAACTACTTGTCTTCTGTAATTAGAAGCACTGTTTACTGCCTTCTCAGGAGACATGAAAAACTGACTGTGGTGAATTTGAATGCATGTCATCTCTGTCATGTACCGCTACAGTGTTCTGTATTTGAAATCAAGAGTAAACTGTGCAAAAATATCCCCAAAATGCAAATTAAATTTTATAATTCTTCTTTTCTAAATTGCTGTAAAGGAATCATCACACATTATTTTCTTGTTAAGGTTGGAAAGAACCATCACTTATTCTGTCGTCTTCTCAGATATCGCAGGTTAAATAATTTTTAGCTCTTTCCAATGAGCCTTGCATACTGGGCTGAAAATTGGTGGTTCAGAAGCTGATTCATGTGTAGTTCGTATGCTCCTGCCTTAGATTTGGTGCTGCTTATCAGAAAAGGTGGAGCAAGCCAATGTCAGTGATTTCAGTCTGCTACCAAAGGACTGTCAGAGCACCAAGCTGCTTCTCAGACTTTATTTCAACACTGCATCGTTCAGGCTTCTCACTGTGAAGTATTATCTCGGCTAATCAAAAACTTCTTTCCTATATTACTCTTGCTCTCCAGTTTGACAAACTGCAGACCACAGTGACAAGGTTAGTTCCCTCAGTGTCCTATACCAAAGAATCATAATGCCTGCTCCCCTTTTGTATACACCTCACAATAACATTAGGTCTTACAACGATTTCAAAGTTTAAAGCTGTATCTGCTGTACTCATTACACATTTTTCAGTGTCACAGTTGTCTTTTAGGACACAGTCCCTGGTTTGCAGGTAAGTTACATCAATGACCTCGTATGTAACTATGTCTGTAGCTTAGGTTATTCGAACAGTCCTGTTCTTGCTCCAGCTGTGACCACCTATGTGCTAATTGTAGGTTACAGTTATGCTAATATTGGTGTTATTCTCTAATGCTCTTTTTTGCGATCTTTATTGATCCAAGGCTCATCTGTCCTGTAAGAGCTTTAGAGTTCAGCTGCAAATGAGACATGATCTAAGGAAGATGCTTTAGAAGATGACGTGTGGCTGGGCAGCTCACTTTTTCAGAGAACAGAACAGCCGGGAAGTGTGTCATCTTTGGAAGAAACCATGTAGCTGAGCTCTCAATGTACAGCCTCTAGGTAGCTCTGTACAGAAGAGAACAGTGTACAAAGTACAAAGTCATGAAATAACTAGTGAATACTTAAAGAGAGTAAAGAAATGCTTGTGAGATAAGCCTGTACTCAAGAGGAAGATTTAAGTTATTTAAAAGGACAGATTGGCTGCTATGTTGAGACCAGTACCAGCTAAATCATGGGCTGGAGGAGGAACATGATGGTGAGATTACTTGTGAAACTCTGGCTACTGAACTCTGAACTTCTCCTTAATGTTTTGTCTGAAGCATTACTGACTAGCATTTTAATGACACAGATTGTGTGGTAATGCTGTGCCCGCTTTCAACCACTAATGCTAAGTAAATAGTACGCTGGAGTATGACAGCAGTAGCAACATGAAATTTTTTAGCATGGAGTTGTGTTCACAAATTGGAAATATACTCATGTGACCAACTTTGTTCTTCTTATGCTTCTAGATGGATTGAGGCGTGTCTGAACGAGGAGCTGCCTCCCACAACAGAACTGGAAGAAGGATTGAGAAATGGAGTCTACCTGGCCAAACTTGGAAACTTCTTCTCCCCTAAAGTGGTTTCTGTGAAGAAAATCTATGATAGGGAGCAGACTAGATATAAGGTGAGAGCTGTTGGCCGTAGATACTGCTTTAGGCAGACATCTAAAATAGGAAAATGTGCACACAGAGGTACTGAAAGCAAATAAACAGAAAGTAAGTTTATATTCGTATAACCTGAGAAACTCCATTTTTGCTCTGTGACATTGATTAAGTGAGGGGGAGTGGACTCTCAGCTTTATACCTGAGCTTGCACTCATGTGAAAGAGCTTGTCAGAAATAGTCAATATATTTGTATATAGAAGACTTCTGACCTCTTTTCTGTAAGAGTACTGTTTTCACTGTCTGCCTTAACGAACCTCGCTGCTGTTCTTGGCAGCTGTGACACTTGGTTTCTTATTCCAGCCCCCTTGTTCCTGCCTATTTTTATTTCAGGCAACGGGTCTCCACTTCCGGCACACAGATAATGTAATCCAGTGGCTGAATGCCATGGCTGAAATTGGTCTTCCCAAGGTAATTTCTATGTTGTATGTGCAGATAAAGAAAAAAAAAAAAATCTCAGAAAAGCTCTACATTCCGTGGAAGCATTTGCTGCTGTACAAAATCAGCAGACTTCGTCTAGTTAATTCTTAATTTTCTAGACTTGCATCCCTATAGAAATTTTATCCTAAAACTTGCTGAAAGATTTCATTCTGCTATGTGTGTGAGAATGACTAGGAGCAAAATAATTCCTCCTTCTTTATCATATCCTTTATCAGTAATTTTGCATAACATCTGTATTACGTTGTTCTTGCCATGCATTCTTCTGAGCAATGTCTGAGCTACAGTTTGGTTGTGGAAGTTTTTTTAGAAATCTATGCTAAAAGAAACAGTGCAACAGAACATACTTTGTTCTCTATTTCTTCATATTTCCTTACGAAATTTTCACATCAAGTTGAAATATTCCTGGTGTAGCTTAATTGAATATGAATTATTGGCTTCACTAAGGAAGTGGCCAGATAAACTCCTCTGAGCTAATGAACACTGTTGCCTGAAAAATATGTAACTGTGGTAGTGTTGTGCTGATAATCGAGTTGCATATGTGGAGAGTAAATACGTTTTTTTTAAAGTTGGTTTTTGTTTTTTTTTTTTTTTGTAAATCATGTTATGCTTAGTTTCACCAAAACCAGTGTTGCTTAGTTTAATCTGATGTATGTTTTGCTTGCATACATGTGTGCAAATTGAACACTTTATTTTCGGCAAAGTTTTTCAAATAGCTTGTTGAGATTTACTAGTTTAGCCTTGCTGGGATTTATGGTGATCTTACAGGAAAAAATTTGGGATTAGGAAATAACGAAATAAGCTGTTAAGGTTGTTAGGTTAAAATAAATGAGGAGGTAGCTAAACAAGGAGAAGTTAAGTGCCAGGGTATGAGGCAAGATTTTCAGATGTAAGTGGGTTTTGGAGGGAAATTGATGTGTGAGGAGATGTTAAAGAAACTGGGCTGGGGTCCAGTACATTTGTGCTTTAAATATTTTGACATGCAGAAGAGCCAGGGAACTGATGCGGTGGAATTGTGAGGGTCCTTCAGCTGCTCTTGCCTTTACAGAAAGAGCAGTGCTGTTTTGTGCTCATAGGCAACAGCAAGGAATGTTCCAATAATGAGAAAATAATGTACCTTGTCGGTACTTTTGAATGAATTGACACTTCCAGTGTTAGCCCCTTGTGTTAAACTTTGAAGAGCTTTGCATTTGAGTCTGTCTGAAAGCTTTTGGGTCCAGCTAACTGAAAATGTAGTATGCAGAACACCTCAGTGCTGATCTCACTTTCCCTTTGTCACTGACTCTCTTCTTGCTTCTCAGCCTCATTTAGTCCAAACAAAATCCTCTTTTCTTTCTTCTCTTGTAAGTATTTTTTTCATCTCTTGACTTTCACCAAAGTCCTTGCTAATACCTCATGACCCAGTATCTTGGTGGGCACGCAAAAGAAAGGGTGAACTCATCTGCGTGTGTAGAATGTGGGCAGCAAAAGGGGAACCCTGGTTTGGGTGGTGGAAACAAAAGGAAGGATTGGTGCTTCAAGCAGGAGAAATGTTGGGCCAGGGCAGAGAAGCTCAAAGAGTTTTGTTCTGTGGGCTGTTTCATTAGCGTACTGCAGAAGAACTGGACTTGTCACAGTTATGCGACTTGGCTGTATAGAGTGAGTATAATTCAGACTGCTAACTTTGTTTTGTCTTTAGATATTCTACCCAGAAACTACAGATATCTATGATCGCAAGAACATGCCACGCTGTATCTATTGTATTCATGCACTCAGGTAAGGCATGCTAGGCAGAAATCTAATTGATTCTGAAATCTTGCTGCAAAGCTGCAAGCTGAGAGGGGAGAAATCTGAACTGAAGACTGGATGAGGACAAATTTTCTAGCAGAACAATCTTACCAGGTCAGAGCAAAGATCCATGAAGCCAGTATTTTGCCTTGGGCAGTGGCCAAATCAGATGCTGACTTCAAGTATGTTGTGATTACTACCTTCCCATCCCAGTTCTCACCCTCCCTCTCTACTATCTGAGGCAGAGCTAAACATTTTGGGGCTTAAAGGAAAGCCTGAAGCCCTAAAAAGTGTTTGTGAGAAAGGAAAATAATAGTTTATCTAGGGATCAGTCAGATCAGTGAATGAAAGCCGGCGTGGTCACAGCATTGTACTGCAGTATGTGTATCTCGATTACCACAGTAAGTGATCAAGCAGGAACTGTTGTTGAAAGGTCTCTTAAATTTTAGATTCTCACATAGACCAAGTAGGGCCACAAGGATAATCCCAGTTCTTGAGAAAACTGGGAGAATTCGTTTGTTGATGGCTTTGCTCTTTAATTTGGCAGGATGGCACATTGCTTGCGTTTTTGATTTTTTTTTTGGTATGTGTGTGTTTGGGTTTTTTTTGTTTTATTCCCCTCCCTCCTCCAGCTAGCTGGTTTGAATGCAAGTGTGGCTTTTGGAACATGTTGAGATTTTTATTTTAACAGAATTCCTCTTGTAGAGTTTACTAGGTGATTGAATGCAGGATGGTATACATCTGGGTCTTCATCTGTTGCTTGCTCAGTTTCAGTTCTCAAGAGCTGCTTATTCTGCTCTCTGATCTGTTGCCAGTGTGAAATCCATAGAGATGGAATGCATTTATCTGAATGTTGTATTTCAGATTTGCTGTAGATTAAATTATTGTTTATAGAAGTGAGCTTGATCCCAACTTTAGATCTAAAATGAGTTATCTCTGTAGAATAAGTTATTTGGAGTTTATAGAGCAATGAGGAGTAGACCTTTGGCAGGGTACTCTGCCACTATCAAGACCAGTGCTCCTTTTTGTTTAGGTTATGGCAAAGTTCCTCCCTTGCAGGCAGCTTTGTGATAGCTACTGTAGCTACTTTATGCCAGGAGTTGGCTGGCGTATATTCTTGTTACGTGTTCCTTGTTATATCCTGGCCATTCCCCTTGCCCTCCCCACCCCCAGGAGTCTGAACTGCGGACAATTACCCAGCTTCCCAAGAAAATGAAGTTTGCTGTTGCTATACTCTTTCTAGATCATGTATTAGGAAAAGATGATTAATTCAGGGAGCAAAATTAATAGATGCATACAGTTCCAGTAGTTAAGGCTGTAGAATTTATAATCTTTCATCTAATAATAGCTTTCCAAAATACTTAATTTTTTCAGTCATTAACCTTTTTGGCTGAAATGTTCCGTAGCCAATTTCTCTGCAAAGGCAGCCTCCTCAAGAGTTTATCATTTAAATAATTTTACTTGTCATGGAAAAAAGTAATTCTGCCCTATAAATATAAGTATGGAAAAGGATGTTTTTATAAAAACTTGGGGTTTTTTCAGGCTTAGTGTCAAAGTATATTCTAGTTAAGAAATAAAGATCTAGAATGCAGTTTTGATGACAGTCCGTAGGTCAGGAGTGTTCCTGCCAGGTGTTCATGTTTTTTGTTTTGTAAAAAAATCTACTTAGATTTTTAAAGATTGGAGATTTACACTTGACATGTTGAGGTCATGTGAAAAGGTGGAATTGCTTGCCTTCTATTTACCAATCAAGTTAGAAGTGAGTTTAATGGATGAATAGATATTTACTTTTTTAATAGTTTATTTTTAATGTTTCTGCATAATCAGATATTTCAATAGAGGTGAGAAGGAGAGGAGTTGCTTTTCTTTTCCCAGTCCCATTTGTCCTTAGATATATGGATTCATCCCTCTTTTGTAGCAGTTCCAGTTCTCATCAAGCTCCAAGCGAATACAGTAACACCACTTGTAACAACAGGACAAGAGGCAACTGGCACAAACTGAACCACAGCAGGGTCCCTCTGAACATCAGGAAACACTTTATTTACTGTGAGGGTGACCGAGTGGCACGAGTTGCCCAGAGAGGCTGTGGAGTCTCCACCCTTGGAGATATTCGAAAGCCACCTGGACGTGATCCTGGGGAGCCTGGTCCTACGTGACCTTGTTTGAGGAGAGAGCTTGTACAAGAAAAACTTGAGAGCACCCTTCTAGCCTCAACCATTCTGTGATTTCGTGAAGACTTCAGACTGGTGGACCAGTTATCTGCAGCTGAGGGGGGAAGAGAGGAGTCGGCTCACCCTCGTGGTTATTATGAGCTGTTACATTGGCTTACCTGAGTGGCTCCTTGAATCTGTATCTCCTAAAATTGTCATTGTCAGAACCACAAGGAAAAATTACTAGTTCTAATTATTTGCTTGTTTTCTTTTCTAGCCTGTACCTGTTTAAACTGGGTCTTGCCCCCCAGATTCAGGATTTATATGGGAAGGTGGACTTCACAGGTAAAAAAAAAAAAAAAAAAAAAGTACTGATATGTGTGCTGTCTTTGTCTTATACTCCAGTAGACAGTGTGTAGATGAAGGATTTTTACTGTTGGTATCCTAAATGCAAATTGAATTCAAAATTAATTGCTGTGAGAAGTTCTAGTAATTTAAGATTTAGGTGCTTCTGAGCCAGGCTGTTAAATAGCCATTGGTTTGCTAATCATTACTTTCACAAATAACAGTCCCTTAATTTTTTTTGCCACTGTTGAGAGATGCTTAAACCTTGCCTCCATTCCCTTGGGAGAGGCTTCAATTTGAACTTGGTAAACGGTTCTGACCTCCCGTGACAGTTTAGAGATGCCATCAGCTGGAGAAGAGTTTGCCAGCTGATCTGCTGCAGGAGATTCCAGCACAAAGTCTTGTGTCCACATGCCGCCTCAAGGTTTTAGTTCCTTGATTTTTGCAAAAGTGTCGAATTGTGTGTGTCGGGTTAGTGGGGTTCCTGCCTGAGGATGCACATCTGATTTAAAAGGTGTATAAAGATTATTTTCCTGCAAAACCATTGTTGATTGAACCTATAAAATGCTACACTATCAACTCTCTTTTTAAGTTGTATGGTGTTTATCAACAGCATGTCTCGATATCCTCCATTCATGTTTCTCAGCATAGTCTCTCTGTGGGAAAAAAAGAATGCCAGATACAGCCTGTGCATTTTCCTGACCTGTTGGCAGCTGTAGTTGAGGCACCTCAGAATGATGGAGTCTGTTTCCAGCTCCTCATGAGAGTCGTGTGTTGATATGAGTTTCTGGGAGAAATGTAGATTTTAGGAAAGTGTGCAAAATGTTTATCAGTTTTCATTTATTTTGTTTCACTTACTGAGTTATATTGAAAGTATTATTTTAACCGTAATTTTAATTTATTGTAGTTACCCTATTTTTTTTTTTTTTTGTAGCAGCAAATGTTATAGCAGTGCTGATTCCTAATGTGTTTAAGCCTGTGTAACACTGGTTTTATGTATGTTTCAGAGGAGGAAATCAGTAATATGAGGCTTGAACTGGAGAAGTATGGTATTCAGATGCCTGCTTTCAGCAAGATTGGAGGAATTCTTGCAAATGAACTTTCTGTGGATGAAGCAGCATGTAAGAAAAAATGGAGTTTTGTTTTATGTGACAATTCAAATCAACTGATGAGAATTTTTCTTTTTAAAGTGTTGGTTTTAATGGTCCCTGTTGTAAGACAGTACAGTCTTTTTAATAGGCCTTTGGAAGACTGGAAAGAGCGTTATCTTCTTCCATTGTGTACTTTTTTCTTTTGTTTCTGTAACATGATGATTTGACTAGCTAGAGTATTGTACCAGGAAGTAGGCTGCCATTTTTTGTCAAGAACACAAAGTCATGACGGAATGAGAGGTACTTCAATAATTCTTTTGCTTTCCAGTTAATTTCCAGATAATTCTTCTGCTCTTTCCAGTTAAGTTCTCAATTTTTAACAGAGCTTTTGTATTTGGGACTAACTGTCAGGCTGTGACTTGTTTTTCAGTACATGCTGCTGTCATTGCCATTAATGAAGCAATTGACCATCAGGTTCCAGCTGACACTCTTATGGCGATGAAGAACCCTAATGCCATGCTAATAAATCTTGATGATCAACTGGAATGCGCTTACCAAGACATACTCTACAGAGCAAAGCAAGACAAAATGGAGAATGCTAAAAATAGGGTAGATCAATTCTTCTTTCAAACCATCTATTGTATTGCAGTATAAACTGTGGGGAATTCATGGAATGTGTGTTACAGTCCTGTATGTATAGTGTTAGGTGGATTTACAACTAGTAGTATTCTAATATATTCCCCAGTAACCTGTCTTCCTATTGTAGAAGACAGGGCAGCATTTAGCTGTGTTACTCTGTTTAGCTATCTGAAATATGGGCCGCATAGAGACAGAATTCATGTCAGCCTTTATGTTGGGCATGCTGTCCCTCTATTTTGGTACAATATAGATATGTTTTCCTAACAATAAAATGACGAGCAAAACTGACCGATGCTCTCAGAAGGGGTCAGTGGTGTTTTAGAATGCTATATATCAAATGTCTAGCTACATGTACTGCTTTCTATGTTCTGGAGCTCTACTGTGTGTTCATATAGAGCCATTACATTGAAATAATGTTTTCTACGCTGTCTATATCAGAGTGTGAGTTTATTTACTTTATACGTATTTAGTTCCAGGGCTTCTTTTTTCATGTATAGAGGTAGCCTACCACAACTCTATATACAGTTATCCTGCCTGACCTTTTCATTGAGAAGATCTATGAGGGCAAATGAAACTGTAGAAACACTGATTATTTTTTTATTTCATCTTCAGATTGCCTCAGAAAACTCAGAGAGAGAGAGAGATGTGTATGAAGAACTTCTAACTCAAGCTGAGATTCAGGGAAACATCAATAAAGTGAACAGTAGGTATCATGCTAAAGTAATAGTCTTAATTTAACAGAATACTTAAAAATGATACCTGTGCTCCTCCTCTCTTTCTGTAATGCTAACAAAAGTGGAAGGCAGCGTCCCTGTTTTCGTGGGGGTTTTGGTGGTGATTTGCTGTGGGTGTTTTTATTACACTCCCCCCCCCGCCCCAGTATTAGTATATAGTTGTAAGCTGAAATAGTTTTGACTTCTGTTGCCTCGCCTTTAGGAAATGGATTGTCCATATTGCTGGTCCCCCCACTTCTTCATCCTGAGTAATGCGTGCTATTTCCAACCTTCAGACCTTTTTTCAAGTACTACTTTGCAATTGACTTTGGAAGTCTTCCATTTGGATTACATACCTAACTTTCTATCCATCAGATCTGAGAGTATTTCTTTCTGAGCAGTAGGTTATGTAAACCGTGGGACTTCCTCATTTAACATGTGTCTCAAAACTCTGCTTTGCTGTTTCTAGCACATGCAGCCATATCAAAGATTGACCTAGCTTTGGAACGAGGAGACGCATTAGCACTGTATGAAGCTTTGGCAACACCAGCCCTGGGACTCCGAGGGTTGCTACGAGAAAATTGTGACTGGTATTTCAAGCAGTTTTTGAGTGATAGACAACAGAAACACGAGGTATGAAAAAGTCTGCATTACTCTGATTCATGAGGTTTTCCCCCTGCCCACCTCTCCTTTCACTATATACTAATCACTTGCCATATACCTGCATTACAGTTTAGCATTGGTTTGAAAATGTTAACACGAAGAGACAGAAGCATGCAGTAAGCGTATTCATCATTTAGTTTTCATCTCTGCATATGAAAGGCCAGTATAATGCATGTATGTATATATAATTGAAATACTTTCAGCAAACCTTAAAATATTAGCTTGGGACAGTGTACCCTTCCTAAATTTGCAGATGATACAAAACAGGGAGGAGCAGTCAATACATCAGATGGTTGTGCTGCTACTCAGAGGGACTTACCAGGCTGGAGAAGTAAGCCATTAAGAATATCATGAAGTTCAACAAAGACAAATGCAAAGCCCTCTACCTGGGAGAGGAATAACCTCATGCACAAGTACAGACTGGGGATAGATTTGCTGTAAAGTAGCTTTCCAAAGAAGGACATGGAGTCCCAGTGGACAATGACTTGATCAAGAGCTGGGAATATACCCTTGTGGCAAAGGCAGCCAGCAGTGCCCTGGGATGTGTTAGGAAGAACGTTGTCAGCAGGCTGAAGGGAGTGATCCTTCCCCCTCTACTCAATGCTGGTGAAGACCACAGCTGGAGTATTGCACCCAGTTCTGGGGCTCTGCAGGACAAGAGACTTAGATGTACTGCAGCAAGTCTAGCAAGGGCTGAGAAACCAATTTAAGGCTCTGAGCATCTGACATATTAGGAGAGGCTGAGAAAGCTGGGATTACTGAGCCTTGGGAAATCTCTCAAATAACTGATGGGAGGGAATAAAAAGACTGAGCCAAATGCTTCTCAGTGGTGCACAGGCACAGTGACAGTATAAAATGCAATGGGCACAAGTTGAAATTCAGGAAATTCTATTTAAACATAAGAAAACTTTTTTTACCCAAGGTGATCAAACACTGAAACAAGTTGACCAGAGACCTTATGGAGTCTATCCTTGGATATACTCAAAGCTCAACTGAACACAGAATCACAGAATGGTTGAGGCTAGAAGGGATCTCACAAGTTAGCTCATCTTATCCAACCCACTTGCTCAAGGAGGGCCCCCTAGAGCTGGTTGCCCAGGATCATGTCCAGGTGGCGTTTGACTCCACAGCCTCTCTGGGCAACTTGTGCCACTCCTGGGTCACCTTCACAGTAAACAAAGTGTTTCCTGATGTTCAGAGGGACCCTGCTGTGGTTCAGTTTGTGCCAGTTGCCTCTTGTCCTGTCATGGGGCACCACTGAAAAGAGCCTGACTTCATCTTCTTTGCACCCTCCCTTGAGAGGGTTGCACACATTGAGATTCCCCCAGATCCTTCCCTTCTCCAGGCTGAACAGTCCCAGCTCTCTCAGCCTTCCCTTATAGGAGCGATGCTCTGGTCCGTTAATCATCTTCGTGACCCTTCCTTTGACTCTCTCTGTTATGTATGTGTCTCCCTTGTGCTGAGGAGCCCAGAAGTGGACACAGCAGGTGTGGCCTCGTTGCCTCCCTTGACCTGCTGGCGACACTCCTTCTTATGCAGCCTACACTACCATTAGCTGTCTTTGCTGCCAGGGCACTTTGCTCTCTCATGTTCAACTTGGTGTCCACCAGGACCCTCAGGTCCTTTTCTGCAGAGATCCTGGGCAACCTGCAGGGGTTTGCCTGCAGTCTATCCCAAATCTAGGGATTTGGACTAGGCTGTTTCCAGAGGTTCCTTTCACCATCCACTATTCTGTGATTCTGTCATTTTAAGCAGACTTACTTAGAACATGTGCCTTCCAGAAACTCTCCACCTTGAAGTTTCTGGGACTCAGTTGTAGTGCTTAACTAGGAAGAACTTACAAACAGCGTCGCTATCCTTTTGTTGTCAGACTTAAGCAGAGCTCGTTCGACTTCTTAACTGCTGTATTATTTATTATGAAGCAGGACTGAATGCAGCTGCAATGGGAGCTGCCTGGCTGTGTGATTGTGTCTGTCTCATGTAACCTGACATATTCTCCCACTTTGGATGATCTCTGCATAGGGCTCATTAGGACCTACGCTTCTACTAACTGAAGATGTCCTCTTCCCGAACCTCCTCGAAAATCTATCTGTATCAATATAGGTAGATAGCTATAGATATAGATCGATATAGATAAATAGTACCTTTCTTTGGTAGACTGTTACAGCTTTTTCTGCTGGAGTGCAGGTTTTTTGTGTTCAGTAGGATCCCTCAATCTGAAAGGCATACAGCAGTAAATCAGAGCCACACTTGATTTTGAAAAAAAATTTTTTTGTGTGTGATGCAAGATTTTTTTTTAGTCAATAGCTAAACATTGTTCCTAAGAGAATAATTCCTTACAATGAATGTGCTGTTTTGGGATACTCTTTCATCAGTCAGCGTGCTACTGTACTTTGTGAGTGTTACTTACCTGGGATTCTGTGTGAATGATGGAGCTGAGGGATGTGTGTATTGCTGTTTTGCCCTTCTGTGGCGGTATGAGGACTTCTGCAGCACAGACTTAGTCCTGCAGCTATTGCTATTCAGATTTGTCATTTATCTCTGAAGAAAGATCTTCAGAAGCTTTGTTTCTTGGGACCTACGATTAAGATAAAATAGGAAAAGTGGGGACTTTTAAAAAAAGTCCTGCCAAGCTTTGGTGTGGCAGAAACTCTCCATAGTTGTCAAAAGATGTCTCTTGAGATGACATAGAACTGGGAAGATTTTTACCAAGTTTTTTAGTAGCCACAATAAACCAAATTCATCGGTTTTCTAAACTGCAAAGTCAGATTGCACATTCTTCCAGAATGTAATTGAAAGATCTTGTTACATAAATGTGGTCTGTTGGGTGCTTTTGGAGAATTACCATCTTTACTGTGTGAACTGTATAAAGGGTTGTGACCTGTATGGCTACTACTCAAGTTATTTAAACTCTCCTGCTTCCGAGTCACTCATCTCATTTTCTGTTTGTATTCATGTAATACCATATAGTCTGAGAAGCATGTATATATAAGCTAAAACTGTATGTTGTCCATCTTTGATGCTCTGCTAACTCAGAGGTAAAATGGAACGTTAATTAGTGTGTTGCTTCATGGCAAACTACACAAGTATGAATTTCACTCCAGCATCCAGCTCATGTACAGGGAGTCTTTTCCCACAAAATTGTCCCTTTTGTCTAAAATGTGTCATGATTTTGAAAGCTGGGTTCTTGCCTTTAATGACTGTGTCAATGGGACTGCATTTCTAGTACTAATGGTTGTATGCATACAGTCTTTCAGCATGTGAACTGAGAATCTGTTGAGCAAGTTCTGTCTTCCTCATGTGTGTGGCATTCTTTGTTTCCAGATGCTATGTGGCATTAGAGTGTTTTAAGGAAAAGCTGTTTTCCTTTTGCTGAGCTATTTGAAGTGAATAAGCTGACATAATTTCACTCTCCCGGTTTCTTATTTTTCTCAGACTGGCCTTACAGGTCCTCTGCAGAAGGAAGAGTTGCAGTTGGGAGTGGATGCTGCTAACAGGGCAGCACAACAGTATCAGCAAAGTAAGGATCAGCAGAAATTATTGCAGCAAAGTGACCATGGATGTGATCAAAAGGATGAGACAGCACAATATTTGGGTCTATGTGGAGAGAGATTTGTGAGGTTTCTCTCAAACCATTATGAAAGTTCTTGAAGTTCTTCATGACTGCTAAGAACATTAGAGACACTTGTACTGTCTTTTATCCAGCTCTTACAATACTGTTGGAGATAACAGCAGTTATGTTTCGATATAATTTGAAATACTAAGAAACAATGAAATTTTTTATCCGCCTTAAATAACCTCTTTTTCTAGAATTCTTGTATGAATGTTTGTGCTGTGCATCTGTGAATGAAATCTGGATTGCTCCGTGAGGTGTGAAAGGTAGTTTACCTGCTGACCATTGACATAAATGGGGAGAGGCTGTTCAGGAGGGCCTGTTGTGATAGGACAAGGGGTAATGGTTTTAAAATAGAGGGAGGTAGGTTCAGATTGGATATTAGGAAAAAATTTTTTACCATGAGAGTTGTAGAACACTGGAACAGGTTGCCCAGAGAGGTGGTGGATGCTCCATCCCTGGAGACGTTCAAGGCCAGGTTGGACGAGGCCCTGAGCAACCTGATCTAGTTGGAGATATCCCTGTTCCTTGCAGGGGGGTTGGACTAGATGACCTTTGAAGGTCCCTTCCAGCCCTAACCGTTCTATGATTCCATGATAAATCTTACTTGGCTTGAGCTACAGAACCTTTAACTGTTTCTAAGTATCAGGTAGCAAATAAAATGCAGATCACAATGACTGATTGTTTTTTGATTGATGCTTCTGACTGTGCAGAGCTCTTTCCTGGAGAAGAATGTTCAGTTCTGGCTGTGCAGGAGCAATTAGTTCAATTTGTAATAGGTAGGAAGGAGACTACGAGAGACCAGGGGAGAAGAGAGGGTTTAGAATACAAGAGGGAAATAGTGAATGCCTAATAACTAGGAGGTTACCTTCAAAGTACCTTACTTGTTCAGCATGGAGCTTGGTGTTCGTTTACCTACTTGTGCTATTTTAAAGTTAGCCTATGTGTATCCGCTACAGAGTGCCTGTTACTGTCTTGAGCAGGATAGACGCAGACAGGAGGAAAAAGTTGTTACTGCTCATCCGTCCAAAAATTTGCAATTATGAGGCTTCTTAGAAGACTGAAATGGTGAAACAGTCCTTTAATAATCAAGCAAAAAGGTGAACTAGTTTTAAACACGAGCTTTACTTTGAAGAAGGCATGTGTTTTAGTTGTCTACACTAATGGAAGACTAACTGGGGAAGTATGGATCAGAAGGCTTCGTTCGTTTCCTGCACCTAAGGGAATTATTCTTTTTCTTGTTAGTATCTGATTATTGAGTAGAATAAAAGTGCTCTTATTACTAGGGACTCAGCTATCTGCTTTCCTCATTCTTTATGCTTCGTCTGTAACTTCTAGGGCTGGCAGCAGTAGCCAAAATTAATTCTGCAATTCGAATGGGTGATGCTGAGAAGACTGTGGCAGAAATTTTGAATCCAGAGGCTCAGTTACCAGTCGTTTACGCATTTGCTGCAGATCTTTACCAAAGGGAGCTGGCCACCTTGCAGCAACAAAGCCCTGAAGTAAGTACCGTATTCTCTTTTCCGGAAGTCGGTATGGATCACCAGGTCTTCCTTGTCTGTTTTGTTAAATGCGTTCTCTGGATCAAACCTGTCTTGAGTCATCATCTAGTTCAGAGGCGTCCCTGCCCATGACAGGGAGGTTGGATTAGATGATCTGTAAGGTCCCTTCCAGCCTTTGCCATTCTATGATCATAGAACTGCTTTGGTGTTCCGTCTGTCCTGATGTGAAGTTTAATCCCTAAATCTTGAGCTACCTGACCCTGTAAGATTCTACTTTAATCTCTTGGTGTTCTAGATTTATGATACTCATCTTTCTGCTTCTATGCCATTAAGGTTTTCCCTTTGCTTTGTTATATGTCTATTCTGACAACTTCTCTATTCTGTGTTCTATGTGCAGCAATAGTTTGTAAAGAGCGAGTGGAATTAATTTCTTGTCCTCTTTGTATGCAGGGTAACCTCACCCATCCAGAATTATCTGTTGCTGTAGAGATGCTGTCTTCTGTGGCCCTGATAAATAGGGCGTTGGATTCAGGGGATGTAAATACAGTGTGGAAACAACTGAGCAGTCCTGTCACAGGGCTTACAAACATTGAGGATGAGAACTCCCAGAGGTGGATATTTCAAGGAATCATGTCTATCTTTGATGTTGCTTATATTCTGTGACTTTTTGAATTTTTTCCCCCCTCTTACACTTTGTTCTTTGTATGTTTTCTATCATGGTACTGATTTAATCTCCCTTGGCTTCTGCATCTTGTTTTTGTGATTACTGTTTCTTACTGGTCTGATTTCTATGCTGTCTCTCAACGCTTTCTCTCAGATTTGACTTTAAAGCCATGCTGTGGTTGTCATTACGTTGTCACTAATACTACACCAGCTCACCCACTGTGTTCTTTCCCCTGGCCTCTCATTCAGTGTCTTAGTGCTTTTGTCGATTATTTCACATTTGGGCTGACCATCCTGCATGTAACCTTTCCTCTTATTCCCCCTTTCTGTATTTGTTCCAGTTTCAACCCTCATGTTACCTCTTCCACTTTATGTGCAATTCTCATATTGTCTTGTGTGTTCCCTGGCCAGCTTGTTGCGATGCGATGTTTGTTGGTTTTGGTTTTTGTTCTTTGACAGATATATTGATGATTTGATGAAGCTGAAAGCTCAAACATGTGCAGAAGGAAATGAATTTATCACGTGGAATGATATCCAGTCCTGTATTGATCGTGTGAACACAGTTGTGCATGAAGAACATGAAAGTAAGTTTTTCTGCACGATTCATGCTAGACTGATCCTAGCTCATAAGGAGTACTGAAATTAGGTGTATGTCAGTGCAAAAAATTACTGATTGACTTGTAGTTGTGTCATATGTTAGATATCTAGGAAGATCTTAGTTGTGAGCAAGACTTGGTGGTCTGTAATATATAAGGCCTGATAGCAGGACTGTTGATGGAGAGATCAAGCAGTCAGGAGTGTTTGTGGTATTGAAATCAGTATCTCAAAACAGTTTGTCAATCCTTCCAATGCAAATTTCAATCCTTTTTGGATAACAAAATGTGGTGTTTGCTATCAGCGCCTAGGATTAGTCTAGAATCTTTTCTAATTTTGCTTCCATCTCTCAAATTTAATAAAAACTAGTATTACTAAAATCTCTGAGTTAATTGTAACCCAGTCTTGGAGTACTCCATCCTCCTTCCTAATTTACTGGATTCAGTGGAAGTTACTTTTCTTGAAGTCATCTTCGTCTGCAGCATCTGCCCTATTCAGCTTTTCCTCTTCTCCCTTTTAGTCCTTATTTTGAACGTGCTTTGGCTTTTTGGAAAGTGCTCATCTTTTAAGAGGTTAATTGCTTTGTTTACGGTTGGTTCCTGGAAGCTTTTATTTTCTCTTATAACACTTCATATGAACACTAGTTGTTAAAACCAGTATCTATAAAAGCTGAAATAACTCATAACTGACTTTCTGATCAGTAGAAGAGTATGCCTGCGCAGGTATTGCCCTTTAACTCAAAATATTGGTAAACTGAAAAAAAATCCCTAATCAGAAAATATGCAAAAATCCACAGACGTTATAAGTGTATGCAGCGAGTGTGACTACCAAAACTTAAATACTCAAGAAGGAAAAAATTCCTGGTGCAAGCTGAGAAATGTGAATGGGTGTTAACTTCACTTCTGTGCTTATTCTAGTTCTGCATTTTTTTTCATTTCTGTTTTTTAGTATTGTTTATTTTAATAAGTGTCTTTTAGCAGTGATAAAAGACTGGGATTGAGAGTAACAATGAGAATTTAAGCAAAACAGAAAATTGGAGTAATTCTTTCTCTAAGACAGGATTAGTGGACTTAAAATCCGGAGTGGAGGTAGAAGAGTGCTTGAAAATAACACAATTAAGTGAACTTATTCTTAGGTAGGTCCTTGTGAGTCCTGGTGGTTTAATTTTCTGTTTGTTTGTTGGTTTTTTTTATGGTTTTTTTTTTCAGTTTTATTAAGGGAACATAATTTTTGGTTATGACCAGTACTGGAAACCTCCTGTGTATGCAAGTAGCATGACATTTACTTTCAAGCCATCTTTGTAATACTTAGCTCAAAGCCTTGCATCATAAGAGGGGAGAGATTTGTCACTAATGTGGAGATGATGATAAAGTTTATATTGTACACTGAGACAAACAGGCATCTCCTGCCACTTCGTGTTGCGTAGTTGGTGAGTTTGTGTTTCACCTTGAAAAGACTTTATACTCTAGAGAGGGTTAATTTTTAATTTAAGAGCCTGCTATCTTGATTAACTGGTTTCCTGGATCTCTGAATAGACACTGGGTTTCCTGTTTGGGTCACATGAGCAGATTTTTTGAAACCACACAAACGCAGACCCATGCGGGTACATACACGCAGCAGGATGTGAGTTTCATAGTGCCTTTTCCATGTAAGAGGTCACAGCAGAAATCTAAAAGCTCCTGTAGTCTCAATACCTGGTTTCTTAAAATGCTCCTTATTCTGTAAAGATGCAGAAAATCCTGTAATGAGGTAAGCTGTTCTCATGGGGATTTTCTTAATTCTTTGGTTTGCTTCATGTATGCATTTATGCAAGGACACTTTTTGTCTCCTGTCTGAGTAAGTTAAATTAGTCCGAGAAGGTCCAAAGCATTCGGTACTGTCCCACACAACATCCTTGTCTCTAAACTGGAGAGACATGGATTTGATGGATGGACCACTCGGTGGATAAGGAATTGGCTTGAAGGCTGCACTCAGAGTTGCAGTGAACGGTTCGATGTCCAAGTGGAGACCAGTGATGAGTGTTGTTCCTCAGGGGTTGGTACTGGGGCCAGTGCTGTTTAACATCTTTGTCGACGACATGGACAGTGGGATCGAGTGCACCCTCAACAAGTTTGCTGACGACAGCAAGCTGTGTGGTGTTGCAGACATGCTGGAGGGAAGGGATGCCATCCAGAGGGACCTCGACAGGCTGGAGAGGTGGGCCTGTGAGAACCTCATGAAGATCAACAAGGCCGAGTGCAGCGTCCTGCACATGGGTCGGGGCAATGCCAAGCACAAGTACAGGCTGGGCGGAGAATGGATTGAGAGCAGCCCTGAGGAAAAGGACTTGGGAGTGCTGGTGGATGAGAAGCTCAACCTGAGCCGGCAATGTGTGCTGGCAGCCCAGAAAGCGAAACGTGTCCTGGGCTGCATCAAAAGAAGCATGGCCAGCAGGGCGAGGGAGATGATTCTGCCCCTCTACTCTGCTCTCTTGAGACCCCCCCTGGAATACTGTGTTCAGCCCTGGAGTCCCCAACACAAGAAGGACATGGAGCTGCTGGAGCGAGTCCAGAGGAGGCCACGGAGATGATGCAAGGGCTGGAGCACATCTGCTATGGAGACAGGCTGAGAGAGGTGGGGCTGTTCAGCCTGGAGAAGAGAAGGCTCCGGGGTGATCTTATTGCAGCCTTCCAGTACTTAAAGGGGGCCTACAGGAAAGCTGGGGAGGAGCTTTTTACAAGGGCGTGTAGCGATAGGACAAGAGGCAATGGCTTTAAACCGAAAGAGGGGAGATATAGATTAGATCCAAGAAAGAAATTTTTCCCTATGAGGGTACTGAGGCACTGGACCAGGTTGCCCAGAGAAGTTGTGGCTGCCCCATCCCTGGAAGTGTTCAAGGCCAGGTTGGATGAGGCTTTGAGCAACGTGGTGTAGTGGAAGGTGTCCCTGCCCATGGCAGGGGGGGTGGAACTGGGTGATCTTGGAGGTCCCTTCTAACCCAAACCATTCTATGATTCTGTGAAGGTCCTCAAGGCATAAAAGAATCTGTTTTTCATTTCTGCTGTCCTTGTAAATAGTTTCAAATTAAGAAATGCTTTCTAGTGAGGAACTGTAACATGTTACTGTTTCATGGAGTAGTCGTCGTGCCCATATATACAAACTAACCCGAGAGAATTACTACTTACATTCTGCGCCCTTTCCTAAGTCAAACAGTTACCGTATCTGCTTTCTGACAGAAATAATGCCGTTTTAGTGATCCTGGTTCTTGCAGTGTCCTCAGCATATGTTTTTTCCCTAATCTGTACTCCATCCAAATACCATCTCTTCCCTAAGGTACTCTTTTCCATATAAATTTTTGTTTTGTGATTCTCTTTCCTGCATACAAGAAAAAGTCACAATCTTCAGATACATTAACCAAAGTTGGATACTCCTCACACTGAGCTCCTTGTTTTCTTTTGTCTAAAAGATCTCTTTGTTCTGCACTGATCAAACCATGATTTGAACTAGTCCTTCTTTAAGCAGGGATATGAATCAGATGACCTCTAGGGTCTATCTCAACCTAAGTTATTTTGTGATTCGCAGGAGAGATGGTTGCTGTAGGTAGGGCATGTATGATGTTGACTTTGTTCACATTTAGCTAACTATAAGATTTTTTTTTTTTCAATTTAGCCTGAATGGTAAATTTTAATGTACTTGAATAGCATCTCCATCTCTGATAATACAGCTAATACTTAATAAAAGAGTTTTCTGAAATTTAAAGTTACTGTATTTTTAAATCATATTCCATGCAAATCTTCAGCTTCATGTGAAGATTTCTTTCCAGAGAAGCCAGAACCTTGGAAAACTGTAACCTATGAACTCTGGCCATTTAGGCTTCGATAATTCTCTTCTAGTGGCTTTGAGTTGGATGTCTGACAACTCAATTCCTGTCCCTTGCATGTGTTCTCCCTGAGTGATTTTTTGGATGTGGGTTTTTTTGTGTGGGTTTTTTTTGGGTTTTTTTTTTTTTTTTTAACTGCAGTTGCTTTCTTTACTAGTTTTTTGTTAAAAATATTGCAGTTCTTAGCTGATAACTGGTTTAGGAAGGACTAATTGCACTTTTCTTCTGAAGCAATGCTTATGATTATTGTTGACCGAAAATGGAACTTTGTATTTCTTCCCCTACGCCTTCCTCCCTAGGGATTTTGGCAATTGGTCTTATCAATGAAGCTCTGGATGAAGGGGACACCAAAAAGACTATTCAAGCCTTACAGATTCCTGCAGCAAAATTGGAAGGTGTGGCCTCAAAGGTAGCACAGCATTACCAGGATACACTACTTAGAGCCAAGAGGGAGAAAGCACAGGTGAGTGTGCCAAAATGCACCTCTCAAAAAAAACTTTACAGATATGTAATGGGCTTATTACTGGTCCTGAAAGCCAGGAATCAAAACTGGAAGTGGCATTCTGCATACCATGAACTGATCTTACCCAGTTAGTTTGTATTTTTCTGTACTAGAGAAAGAGATTTGCAGCCAGACCATATGAATATTCGTGAATGACAAAGACAGGTATGAGGATATTAACTGTATGAGATAGTTTGCTACAACTAATCCCAGGTCCAGAATGAGATATGTATCTTGTTTGCAAAGAAATAATATGCCTAATCTGTTTTTGCAAGGAGATCGTGTTCGTTCCAGTAGTTCTGGACTTGTGAATGCAAGTTTCCTGCAAACTTAAATATTCTTTTTTAGTGTTCTTTGTTAAATGTAGTCATACACATAGTTATATAGAGCAAAAAGAAAGTTTCTGAAAGTGGAAAAATCTGTTAAGTGATAAATGTATACTGATGCCTGTTGTTCGCTTGGTGAGACTTTTATTGCTATTGTCTGTCTTATTAGCCAAGGACTTGTAGGTACTTGTACATAGTTGCCACTTTAACTGACTAAATGTGAAGGTGAAAATGAGGAGGGGAAGAGCAAGTCTCATCTTACGGGTTTAGGAAAGAGGATAACAGTGTGCTTGTGTGTATGCAATTGATTTGAGTAGTGCGGATGGGATACTGATTTTTTTTTTTTTTTTTTTTTCCCCTCATCTATTTACAAAGAAGTAGCAGATGCCTTTCAGTGGCTTGAGAGTATGGTGTTTCAGGTTTTTTCTGCAGTGGAGGTCATTGTTCTAATACCAATGCAGAATTTTGCATAGAGGCTAAGATCTAGATTGTGTTGAACACTGATTTTTATTTTTTTTTAGGGGTCTGGGTTTTTTTTTGACTAAAGGTAAACCTGCATGATGGCAATAGCTGAAACCTGTACGCGTTTGTATGAAAATCATTAAGCAGCTTCCTCAAGGACCCTGAAAGGGTTAATGTTCCTCAGGAACCCATTTTGTGCTGAAGCATTTCCTCCTGCTGAATCAGAATGAAATAATGAACTCTTTTTAGTGTGTTCTTAAGCTTGTGCCAGGCCAGCCCATACTGGTGACTTCTCATTTGGCGTGAAATTACCTTATTTAGGCATATGTTCAGTTTAGGGCTTCTCCCAGCAGCATGGCAGTAATTTCAGAAACTGAAAGGTCATATTGTAAAGTAATATTGTGGGCAAAATAGTCACTATCTGAAATCAACTTACTTGCTAACTAGTGATTTCTGTACCTTAGGGCTGAGAGGGACTGTAGTTCGCTACAAGACATTGTTTGGTTGCTGATGTGAATGGGGAACGCTGTATGTCGCATGTTTCTTGTGTGATGAGAAAAGCAGTAGACCCTGTAGTATGTTACGCTGTGCACCTTCTGGAAAGCGTGCAACAGTAGGTTTGTAGAAAAGCATGGGGTGGTTTCGGTAGCCTTTGGGTTGACTTTTGCTGGTAGAGATGATAGCAGAGGAAATTGCTCCTTTGATTGTCCACACTGCTCCCTAGACAGGAATTTCGCTGTTGCTGGTACTCTTGTGGGACTATCTAGGCTTTCAGATGAAATCTGCCTGTCAAAGACATGTTAGTCTCTTGAGTGAAATAGCATTAAGTGTGTCAGTTTTAGATCTGTCAAAACACGGGAAAAATGTGAAGGGCGTGTAAGGAAACATTCATTTTCAGTCTGACCGTAAAGCTCTCGAGCACTGTAAATAGTGGCTCTTTTGTGCAGTGTTAAGATCATTCCATATCAGAAGTAAACGTTTCTTGTGTTCTGTTTGTACAATGAGAGTTGTCAGAGGGGTGGCTGTTACATCTTGGCATTTATTTCGGTAGCTACCTACAGGAAGCAACAGTGGGTGGGGGAGAAGTTATGCTTGGCAACAAGTGGATCATTGTTCTTTATGGGTATTTTGGGACTTGCTAAACACTTGTCTCTTTCCTTTTCTCAAATTTCTGCATGTAACATTAGTTGATTGGATTTCTTCAAATCCCAGCCAAAATACAGGATACTGTGTGATCACTGTTCTTCAACGAGCAATCTGTTAAAACAGAGACTTATGATGTGGCTTTAGCTGTTATGTGTGTACACCCAGCCACAATATGTGTAAAGCTTTTTCGTTTGTGGATTTGTACGGAGTCATGAACTTTTGTGGACAGGGACCAGAATAGCCTGATGTGGCATTAGCTAACCAAGACTTTTTAGCTTCTACACATAGACAAGCACTGACAGCTTTTTGTTCTAAGAACTCTTTGCAGCCGTGTTCTGTTAAAGGACTAACTTGAATTTCTGGAAAGTCACGTCGTCTTAGCAAGTACTAACTGGTGCCGAGGCCTTGGCCCTGTGTTCTCTCTGCTGATCAAAGTGATTCCCATTGATGAAATTTCTTTCGTTCTGTTTCCTGGAAAGACTTTTGACTGAGAGGAGGTATTGAGTCTGGTAATGTGATAGTAGTCTCTGCTAGTCACAAATAGACATGATGTCCTTGTGTTGAAGTCAATGAGAGAGACTGAAATGCTTCTTATTCCATCTGATACGGAAAACTGCTATATGGGCTATTGTTGAGTATGGATTGTTTTACTTTGCAACAATAGTGATACTTTTCTCCTCACGCTGTGTATATTTTTCTCACTGTATTTTCTTCAGGACACACAGGATGAAACAGCTGTACTTTGGCTAGATGAAATTCAGGATGGGATTCACAGGGCTAACAAGGACACAGAGGAGTCAGAGAGATGTAAGTATTGTCGAACGATATTGCAATTAATCCCAATTAGCAACCAAATACTAGTTACTTAAGGAAACGTTGGGAGCTAGAAATGTCATGTAAATGTGGCAAAGGAAGTCAAATGTGCTTATGTGCTTCTGGCGTAGTAATTTCTCTTTGAAGAGTCAATGTCAGATTCTTCAGGTATTAAATTTCTTATCTTTTGGGGTGATATGCCATTTTTCCAGTTTTGCATGTGACCATGGTACCTCATTGGGCAAATCTCAATCAAATTGTTTGTTGTTTGCAACTAATTATTTGTGTCTGCAGCTGGTTAGTTAGGTATGAAAACGTTCACATGCACAATTTAAATGGTGTTTTCCAGTGCACGTTATTTTTTTTTGTGTGGCATATTGTTTTCTTATCTTGGTTCTATTAAGTATTTCTAGACTATCTCGTGTCTTTTTCAAATATAGACAATAATGCACATCAGAGATATCATCCTTTGCTCCTTAGTGCAGTTTGCACGTGGACTGGCCCAGCCATCGTTACATCCCAGTCTTTATAATGATGCCTTTTGTGTCTCCAGAAAAAATAAAGTAAAGGCTACTCTTTGCTTATCTTGGTTGCTTTTCTGTTTTTTGGTTTGGTTTTTTTTTTTTTTTGGTCAGGTTTTGTGTTGGTGTTTTGAGGTTTTTTTTATTCCTTCAGTCATAGAATCATTTAGGTTGGAAGAGACCTTGAAGATCGAGTCAAACTATTAACCTAACACTGCCAAGTCCCCGCCAAACCATGTCCCTAAGCATCACATCTACACATCTTTTAAATACCTTCAGGGATGGTGACTCAACCGCTTCCCTGGGTAGCCTGTTCCAGTGTTTGACAACCCTTCTGGTGAAGAGATTTTTCCTAATATCCGATCCAAACCTTCCCTGGTGCAACTTGAGACCGTTTCCTTTTGTCCTATCGCTTGTTACTTGGGAGAAGAGATCGACCCCCACCTCGCTACAGCCTCCTTTCTGGAAGTTGTAGAGAGCAAGAAGGTCTCTCCTGAGCCTCCTTTTCTTCAGGCTAGACAACCCCAACTTCCAGACAGAAGCTTTCTCTTTAACAAAACATGAGGGTTTTTAAAATCTTCTGGTATATTCCAGTTCTCTATATATGCTGTTTGTTTGCTGGGTACTGCATGCTTCAAAGAGCTTGTTTTTATACATTTTAAAAATATATTGTTCTATTTGCATTTACTCTAAATCTCTAATTTTCCATCATATTCAATATTTGCAGCTGTCAGCTTGTTTTGCTTGATTTATATAGTATTAGTAAACTGATTGTTTTCTCTCTTTGTAGTCACATATTTTTCTTGATTCTGTTTCTTTATCTCTGGTGTGCTGATAAAGTATCTTACTTTCCACTTTCAAAACTTCTAATTTGATGTTAGGCTGATACTTAATTATTCAAAGATGCACAGTCAGTCCCTTCTGATCTTGGTTTGAATAGGCAACCGTACTGGAAACTGAAAAGTTTCATCTGACTCTAATCTTTCTAGTGCCTTCTGAAACAAGTTGTCCAAAGACACTGTAGAATCTCTGTCCTTTGAGATTTTTCTAAACTTGGTCAGACAAAGCCCTGAAGTTAGCCCAGCTTTGAGAACGAGATTGGACTAGATTGCCCTCCTACGTGAGTTCTTAATGAATCTGTGTATCAGATATGTAGAGTTTCTGGCACACTTGATTCCTCTTGTCCTTGCTCTTAGTACAGAATTGGACTTTCTTTTACATTTGTGCCTTGTCCATTTGTATTCTTTATTTGTAGATGTGTTAGAAGAGGGAAAAATCAACAGGTTTTTTTGTAATGAAAGACAAATGAGTTTGTCCAACTCCATGGCCTAGTTCAGTTGGTTTTAATTATATTATTTGATCAGTGAATTGCCCTGTGAACTGCTTAAAAAAAAGGTTGGGGGGAGTAGGGCAGAGCTTTACCCGTTCATCTTACTGTTTGTTCCCAGCAGTACCAGTGCAGTTTTTTAACGGTTTTCCCACCCACTGAGTGCTTCGGCAAGGCAGCAGCTTAAATATCATGCTAAGGAACATGTGGTCAAAAGCAGGATTAAAGTATGTGCCTGTAAGCCTGAATAAAATCTTTAGATACCCTTATCTATCCATATATGAACAGATATTTTTGCTGTCTTACCTAGTGCTGAAAATTACTGTATTTCATGTTTGCCGTGTCAATGCAATTTCTGTGCTCTTGTGAATATGTCTCTATTTGAGTTGCAGTTGTGGAGTAGCCCTGGAATGACATGTTATTTTTCTCTTCTTCTGCCCCCTCTTTCCCCACTCAGATTTTTGACTTGTTTACAAACTACTCTGTACTTTTTTTACTAGGGATGGATGGTACTAATTTTTGAAAAGGCCTCTTTTGAGTTGTGACTGCCAGAAGAAACTGCCGTAACTAAAAGGGATGTCAGAGCTAAAATACGGTGTGGTGTTGAGAAATATTGGTGGTAAATCAGCACCATACTGGGACTCAGAGCACACAAATTATGTGCTGTCGGGTGCAATGCAACCTATGGTTGGACACTCTGTACTGAAGAGGCCTCTATATTGCAAGTTGTGTAATTTGGTTTTTATTTATATTTTGTGTTTATATACACTTAAATATCTGTGTATATACACACACCAACTGTAAGTGTGTGTTCATGTGGCCTTGCTCTTTTATGTGGTTCTGTGTTTGCTGAATCAATGAGCCCCTGAATGCCAAAATAACCTGCTTCCTTGTGTTATCATAGTCTCTTTAGGAATTCTGGCCATTAATGAAGCAGTAGACCATGGTGATGTTAGTCAGACCCTGAGTGCCTTGCGTTCACCAGATGTTGGACTATACGGAGTCACTCCAGAATGTGCTGAGACGTACCAGCGAGAGCTGTCAGAATTCAAGAGAAGAAAAATGGCAGCAGGTGAACCTCAAGTAGCTAACTGTTAGTGAAATAAATTTAAAATTATTGCATGTGGAATTTGAACTAGAGATAAAAAAGCCTCTGGGGAGAAGCATTCTGTTACAGGTGGCAATTGTGGATGCTTTGTGAACTAAGGTTTAAAAAAAAAAGTCAGTAGTAGAATGTTCTCCACTTGTAGAACATGTTGTGTTTAGGTAGTTCTCGTATGAGATCATTAGGGACTCAGAAACATTCCTTGTCTTGCTTGGATGAAGGAGTGTCTGTGGATTTCCTAGTTGTAACATTTGTATGTGGAAAAGATAAGACACTTGTCTGTTTTTGAGACTTACACTGCAGTTTCTGTTCCTAGGGGGCAGTGGCAGTGAATGGGTGAAACACTGGGTGAGAGGAGGCTATCATTATTATCATAACCTGCGGACCAAAGAGGGAGGATGGGATGAACCAGCGGAATTTGTGCAAAATGACACACAGCTGTCACGGGAGGAGATACAGGTAGAGTAGATACCACATGCTCTTTCTCTGAAAAGTTGATGTTTCTACCATTCCTATTCTTAACGCAGCTCTAAGAGTTAATGCTTCAATGCCATGCTCGTGTTAAGCTTAGTAACTCATTCATTTCACTGGATATCATCAGACTGAGTGTATCAAAACTCCTTGTCCCATTTCAGAAAAATTTGTCCTGTTCGTAAAAGGGTACAGGACCATGTCGTTGCCGTTTATTGAAAGGCAACTTGGAAGTTTCTCGTAAGCACAATACAGAAAGCTGATGTAAGATCCTGTTTCTTGTACCTTCATTCTGTTTTTCTGGCTCTTCTTCCTACCATTAACGTTAATCCAGAGCACCATATCTGGAGTCACTGCGGCATACAACCGAGAGCAGTTGTGGCTGGCCAATGAGAACCTGATAACGAAACTTCAGGCTTGCTGTCGAGGATATCTCGTTCGCCAGGAATTCAACTCAAGAATGAATTTTTTGAAGAAACAAGTCCCTGCAATCACTTGTATTCAGGTAACGATATCTTTTAATTACGTTTGAAACTTGTACTCTGCAGTTGTTTTCTATACACAAGCTTATTGACAGTTTTTGTTCAATTCAAACAGTTACAACACAGTTGTCTTCATCTCATTTTGCAATTTAGCTAAAAGCATTTCCTTCTCCCAGAAGGTTTTGGTATATTATTTGCTTTTCCACGTCATACATTTAATCAATAAAGTCTTCTCGGGTGGAATTGGAGAAAGAAGAGCTTTACCTACAATTTTATTATGGGATTCAGTGTTTTGGGAATAGGGCAGTATGAAGTGTGTTGTATGTCTTTATGGTGTAATATCATGGGATGAATTACTACTGTGATTCCTCAGGAATTGACTAGGAACAGTATGATTTTCAGTATTGATGAGTAAGATTCTTCTTCTTTTCAAATTTGTCCAGAGATTTGGAGGATTGAGGACCTGAAAGAGATGGTGGGATAATTCAGCATGGGGTTGGGCACGTTTACAGGAGAAGAATGAAAAAAATCTTTCTCTAGTGTTGTACTTGAAACTTGTGCAAAGGAAATAGATGTTTTGCACCCTATATCGTGGTTTAGCCCAGCTGGCAACTAAACACCATACAGTTGCTCGCTTGCCTTCCCTCCACCCCCAGGGAATAGGGAAGCGAATTAAAGGGAAAAGGGAAGGAGACGTGTGGGTTGAGATGATAATAATAATATATATATATATATGCATAATAATAATATATATAAACTAGTGGCGCATAGTGTAATTGCTCACCATCCAGTGACCAACGCCTGTCCTGTCCCGGCAAACGGTCCCAAACCAGATGAGTCCCAACACTGCAATCCTGGACGAGTGAGAGGCCTGAAAAGAGGAGTGAGAGATAGCACTCTGAGAATCCAAGAGAGAGCCTTTGGAAGAGAAAGAGCACTTCTTCCTGGTCAACTCTCATCTGTATACTGGACATGACATTGCATGAGACGGAATACTTCATTGGCCAATTTAGCCCTCAACCCTGAGTCTAAGTTCAAATCACAAGAGGAGTCATGGACCCTTTGTCCCGGCCATGCTCCTCCTGGCCTATTGTGCTCCTGCACACTGGCTAAAACACGGGAAGCTGAGAAGTCCTTGAAGTCTCAGTACCAACATTGGTGTGCTATGAACATTCTTCTCATGACAAGTTTCAGACTAAAACCAAAGCAGAACTCTTCTATTTGCTATAAAAAGAAAAACTAATTCTGTCCCAGTCAAAACCAGGACACCTTGTTACCACTTCACTATTTAAGCAGCATGTGTGTGTCTGTTTCTGCCTAAGTAGCACAAACTCTACATGTATATTTGAAAAAAACAAACCAAAACAAAACCCACAACAAATCCCGAAAACTACTCCCGGCACATTAAAATAACACTCTCTCCCTGTAAGTGTAGTCCAACCCCTTGCCTAACTTCTGTTCCAAGTAGCAATAGCAGTGAGTCTACTCAGAAGGCTTATAATGTTACATCACTCTTCTTGCCAGCAGCATCTAACGCATGATCACCCTCATGTAGAACAGTTTCTGTCAACTTGATTGTTTAGCTGTATCCGTGACCTCTAACTGTGCTTCCGAACGCCCAGGCTCTTCATGGTGCAATTTCAAGTCTGTCATGATTACAGCTGGTGAAATAGTTAATGCCTCACACCGTATAACTCTTCATAAGATAAGCATGTCTTTCTGACATTTTATTTAGCCAAAAGGGAAGCTGAGGAGCAGAAAGAAGCTCAGATTTGTAACTACTTCTCTTTAATTAGAAAAGTAAAGTCAGGGTGCCTGTTTCCTGTTTTCAGTCCCAGTGGCGTGGCTACAAGCAGAGGAAGGCGTATCAGATCCGTTTGGATTACCTGCGAGCACAAAAGGACCAAGTAGTGAAGGTAATGAAGGCTCCCTTCTGACTTTTTTTGATAAACCTTTTGGGTAGTTTGAACTTTTTAGGAAATGTTTTTATCTGAGTATTTTGGTTACCCTTCTGTAGATTCAATCAATGACCAGGATGTATCAAGCCAGAAGACGTTACAGAGATCGTCTGCAGTATTTCAGAAACCATGTAAGAGACTGTTAAATGAATTCAGTACCTGACTTTTGTACTCTTGCCAGATTGAGGTCAAGTGCTTTTTTTTTTTCAATCCTAGATAAATGATGTTATAAAAATTCAAGCCTTTATCCGAGCAAACAAAGCACGAGAAGACTACAAAACCCTCAGTAAGTATTATAGTGACCACGAGATAATAGAATTCTCAATTCTAGGGGAAGTTAGGAGGGGGAACACTGAAACGGCCAAGCTGGATTTTGGGAGAGCTGACTTTGGGCTGTTTAGAAGTCTGGTTAACAAAGTCCAATGGGAGACAGCTCTCAAGGGTAAGGGGGCGCAGGAGGGATGGTTACTATTCAAAAAGGAAATTCTGGAGGCACAGGAGCGAGCTGTCCCTGTGTGCCGGAAGTCGAGCCGCCGGGGTAGAAAACCAGCTTGGATGACAAAGGAGATTTGGGAACATCTCAAAAGAAAAAGGGATGTCTACAAGTCTTGGAAGAATGGGCAGGCATCCAGGAATCAATACAGGGAGGAAGTTAGGACATGTAGGGAGATAATCAGGGAGGCAAAAGCTGAATTGGAACTTAGACTAGCCTGCTCCGTAAG